ATAGTTTTTGTTCCTTTTTCTATTCTTTTTTCGTTTTTTGTTTCGCTTTTTGACTTTTGCTCGTTTTTTCGTCCCCCTAGTTACCCCCCCCCCCCTTTCTCGGTTAGCTAAGCCTCGTTCGGAGAGCGTAACAGGAAGTTTTCTCGAGTTTTCTTGAAAATCTATCACGGTACAACCGGAAGGTTTACACGTTCCCGCTGAACCGTACCACCGGTACTCTAGAATGGGCATGTAGCCCGGAGCTGTGTCAAGTGGGTTCGACTCCGTAGTCATGATGTCGTAAAAACACCCAGGAGCGCCATAAAAACACTATGTAACAGTCGCCTACTTCAGTCACATATGAGGTTAAAGAAAAAAAGGCCCTATAACCATTGACTCAAGAGTCAGGGACACTATCTCTTGTGTTTTTCTACCTCGAACGGTCGGAGCCAATTCGGTTCACTTGCGACATGAGACTAAAAACCCGTTACAGCTTAAAGGCCACTACCAAAATACCCCCCTACTCTAGACAATAAGAACGTCCCCATACTTAGGTCTCAAAGTACCCAAAACACGCGAACGCCGTTAAAAACAGGGTCGGAACAGTCCGTACAGTTACTTTTTATTAGACAGTGGAACTTTGATCCATTTCAGATGGATCAACCTAAAAATCTCCTTACCTCAACATAACAATCATAAAACACACTCAAGAAAACTAAATTGAGTACTCACATATCGGCATACTCGAGAATTTGAGGTAACTAAATTAATACGCAACTTGAGAATAAATAGGGAATTAAGTTTGATTCAATAAATTCTAATCGAACAAGTTCTAGCTTGAGAATTGAGTTTTTGGTCTGGACCATTGGGAGACTTCGATTGTCTACCTTTCCACTGAAGGCTCACTCTGGTCCAACTGAATATCGATGTTCTTTAGCTCGCGATTACTTTCTGTCTCCGGTCACGAATAAAACAGCTCTACTCTCTTCAAATTAAGTATCGGAAATTGCGAATAGCAATTTCCGGCAGCTAAATTTGACCACTTTCCCGCAATTATACTTCGGTCGTTCTGATCATGTTTTTTTTATATTTTCAGTTGTCGCGAGAAACTTGAGCATGACATGTCCAATTCGAATTTTTGAAAAATTCCATTTGAACCCAAAAATTGGGTAATCAGAAGGTCAAAAGTATCATAGTAACCGAGGTTACAGTCAGGAGTCCCTTCATCACGTACTCCAGTCAAAATCCTTGGAATTCTCTAGATATGGAAGTAATAATGATAAAAAAAGATGACAAGTGTTTAAGTCCTTTTCAATTAAAATCGATACGGGTTACGTTTCTTCAATATGAACACGCAACTCGACACGAGAAAAAATAATAGACAAGTGTTACAAATAAAAAATTTCGTCGAAAATTATTTTGTCATTTATTGTTCCGAGTACGCAAGCGGCGTTCGCAATCTGTATTGCCAGGGAGATTCTCTGTTTTAAAAAGCTGCCTGCCCTGGGTTCCTCAGTGCATATGCTTAAGTTCTTACAAAGCTTGCTCAAAAAAATTTCCGTGCTGGGGCAGGCCGCGACCGGAATTTCAAAAACTAGCGGTTGAAAAAGATATCCATCATTTACAAGATCTTTATACTTGTCAATTTTTCGCTCTTCCGCTTCAGCGGCAGCCGTACCAGGGTTACAAACAGACCTGGCATTAATCCTACAAGGAGTTAAGGAGTCGACTACCGTTACATCCCACAAGAGCTGCTTACCAACAGCCCATGGAACGAGCGTCAAACTGTCTGGTCGCTTCTGATTGGTCCTGAAGAGGTGTCGTGGTTCTAAAACAGACGGAATGTGAGTAGAAGATAAACTCTACTTTATAAGGGCATTCAGGTTTGAATGCCTAGAGAATTTCCCTGCACTTTTGTGGCAAGAAAGACCATGCCAACCATCCTCGGTAACGTCTTTTCCGCACACGCATTTATGCCGTTCGCATATTTTCGAGCCTAATCGAAGTCCTATCGCAATTCTGAGTTGTTGGTTCGACAGTTTTAACCTTAAATTTTTGCACGGGATGACGTTCAACCATTGGGAGCCAAATCTATCCTGGAACGCGTTGAATCCTTTTACTTCCGTTGGTTCGAGTCGTAAAATCAAGTCCGCAATTTCGCTGTCAAAATTGGCTCAGTCCAATTTTTTTGGATTTCATTTTCCGGAGCCATTTCAATTTTTCCAAGTTCAAACCACCTTTTAAGCGCATCATCATAAGTTCCATCCACATGCTCCAAACCAAAGATTTCATTCAAGGCATCTTTTGCTCCTACTGCTGAGGCTAAGAGAGCGGGTAAAGCGAGTAGACGAGCGGAAGAAACGCCCAAGCCACCTTTGGCTGCCGGGAGAACTGCTTGTAAAAACTGGTTATCATCCATTTTCACGTTAGTGACCTTGCATAACGAATTTCTTAGTAATTTATCGTAGCGTTCCAAAAAATCATTTTGCAAAAAACAAGGGCTTGTACGCAAAAAATATAGGAGTTTTGGCATGCTAAAGCAAATTTTCAGGAGGTAAAAACCATAATGGGCGTCTAATTTGTCAATGAAATCCGAGATTTTTTCAAGCTCCTTAATTTTTTTGTCGAGCAATTCCTTTCGCAAAGTTCGCCGATTGGAGATCCTAAAATGAGGAGTTCTTCTTTTGTTTTTATTTTTATTTTGGGGCATATTTTTCGAAATTGTGTTAAAATTGAATTATACTGTGTACTAGTAGTCGGTCCCAAAAAAACAAAGTTCGCACTTCTCAGTGTTCAAGCTTAGGCCGTAAATTTGTTCCAATTTCAGAATGTTTTTAAGGTCCCGGAGTACTACCTTATAGTCATCGGCTAAATTCCCATCATCTAAATACCAGATGTTAATTTTCGACTCCAACTGTTTGACTAGTGTATGAATTGTTTCCGCAAAAAGAGGTGGGGCTTCAGGATCACCATGCCGAGTTCCGTCTTCTGACATTATGACAGAGCTTCCGTAAAAAAGGTAATTAGGTTTACCATACGCGCAATGGGTGTAATTGTACAATTCGGGGCGATTTGAATAAACATGATCCAGCATTGTTTCTCTGTTTAGAGAGTTAAAGGCATTGTCAAAATCTAGTTTTAAAAGGACAGTGAATTTTGGATTGTCGTCGCGTTCAATTAGGTTTCGAAACGAGTGCGCAGCTATTTATGCTCCTCGTTTGCTACTGCATCCTACCTGTACGTTTCCGAAAAAAATTTATCGCTCGGAGAGGGCCTTGCTTCCAGCAAATTTAGACGCGATACGTCTCAGCGTGTTGCCTATGGAATCGGTCTCAACCCTCCGTCTATCTTTATGAGGGCGATAAGCTTTGCGCCAAAAAAGAAAGGTCTCAGTGGTTTGGGTATTTTGCCATCTCCAATGAGGTTTATCAGCTTAGTAAGCGATTTCAGAAAATTAAGTCCTGCACTGCCATTCGACTTACTAACAAGATCTTTAAAAAGTTTAGGAACTATTTTATCAGGACCTGCTGCTGATCCGTTCGGAAAGGACATTATCGCTTTGTATAGGTAGAAATCGGTTACGAAAAAACTATCCATTTTTTCTGGATTTGGAGCTGCAAATTTGGATCGCTGAGGGTGCTTAGACAACAGTTTTTGATATATATCAGTTGAAAAAGGAGCAATTTTGTCTTCCGAAGCAGCAAGCCTTATTCCTCCCTTCACATTTCCTTCATCGAGCTTACAACTTATTAACTTTTTTCTCTGCTCGAGGTCACTCAGAGGCGGGCTTGAAACTTGGGGATGGGGTTTTGGAAGTGACACGTCATTTGCTCGAATTTTTTCATTTATCAAAGAGCTCATGCTTGTGGTCTGTTTGCGTCCACTTCTTTTCGGTTGCTCCAAAAAAAACAAGGAGGATGTTAAAAAAATTAGCCATTTTGTAACATCTGCTACATTGTAGACGATGTCATTTATTTTGTCCGACAGACTTTCTGCCAAGGGAACACGCGAGTCTTTTGGTACTCTCTTGAGTACTCGGACATTTGAGATGGCTGTATTAACATAATTGTCTAGCACTAGATCATTACCTATTGTTGCTTTATTTACAGATTTTACATCAACGCATAAAGGACACTGAAACCATTGGTTTTCTTAGAGTCGCAAAGAGAAATACTTACACAACTGATATGATACCAACTAGAACAACAATCACATCTTATCCAATTTTGTCAGTCCTGAAGATTTTAAGCAATCTTTGCTTGTACACTCTTTGTTGTTTTTCCTCATCTTGACGCAGCATAAAGGTGAAAAAAAGGAGTTTGACTGGACTTTAGGGGACTGAACTAACCCATGATAAGCGGTTAGTGGGAGTTTTACAAATCAGCAATTAAAAAAAATAAAAGGCAATTAAATTAATTTAAATTTTAAAATCGAATTATAAAAATCAAAAAACAAGGATTATGTTATTCGCATTGCTCAAGGTCAAGGTCAAACTTCCAAATATGACCGACTGGCACAGACGTATCTTTATTTTCAAACGAGTTTTTATAATTTACTTCGTCACTGCAAACTGACCTCTCCCATTTCGTTAAAGTGAATGATTAACACTGATAATTTGTCGAAACTGCCAATTTTCTCACTCGGCTGCTGCTACTAAAATTTCGTTGTTGCCATGCATTTTGGCCGCCATTCCGGTCGAATATCACAATATGCGATGAAGGGACTCTTGACTGTAACCTCGGTTTCTTTAATACTTCTGACATTCTGATTATTTGCAGAAACAAAAGAAAAGAAAATTTTTTTCCTTATACCAGCTTGTGGTTTGCTTTCTTTCGCTAGATGAAGCACATCGTCCACTGAAAACTGCTCCAAATGCGAACTGTTTCTGACTATCTTTAGTCTGTTTCTAGAAAATAGATAAGAGGAGAAACATGTGTTCAAATTTGTAATTTCGAAATGAACTTGCCACTTAGACTTTCAAATGATCCACGTTATGATAAACATTTTCATCTTTCAGTGAGATGAAACTCATAACAAGTGGTTGCGGCTAGGGTAATTGATTATTTCAACCTATAATGAGCTTCAACCACGCTTTCGAGCAAAGAGGGCTGAGTGACCAGTGTCCTTGCTGCTGCAAGCTTTATGACAACTCAACAAACAGATGCGTACAGGATGCATGCGGTCACATGCGATGCTTCATGTGCGTTTTTCAAAGTGTCCGATGTGTTATGTGTCTGCACTCCAGGCAATCTACTTCAGCAATAAGTCATTCGATGGCTCAATCAAGTTAGTTAGAATTCCGCTGAAGTTATAACTGATTGTTCAAAGGCTTTTTAATATTGAATAAAGCTTTTTTTTTGTTTTAAATATCCTATCTTGATTTAGGTTTGAATCAACTGAAGAATGAACAAATTCGTGTTTTGTTCCCGGTAAAAGTGTGATAGTTGGTTCCCAAGAAATTAACTGGGCCCCTAATGTAAATACAGTGCCTCAAAGTTGTTCATTTTAGTGCTTTGATGATATCAATTAAAGTATCGAATAAGTTCCAGCGAATGAGGCTGGTTATCTACGTTTGAGTAAAGTTTTAAAACGACCGAACAGCGCATTTTGACCTAGTCAACTGCGGTATTTGTCTAAAATTATGTAATTTGGGACCCCTCTCTCACACTTGGTTGCTACCGGGGCCCCTATCACACTTGTACCCTATTCCCTTTTTGAAAAAAAAGAACGGCCATTTAAACTCACAACCAGTTCTAAAATTCCTGTAATGTCGTTTTAATGTTGGTTTTGAATGTGATTTTGACAGAGTCTTCAAAAAGAAGCAGCCACCATCAATCGCGATCAAACGACAATCCTTCAAGAGATCTTAGAAAGTCTCACTTCCTCCCAGTTCAAGCTCCAGCTTCGGTGGAAGCACACCATAGCTCTCTTAAAAAAGAACTACCGGGTCAGCCCGTTGAAACAACTGAAGATGAAGAAGACCACCATTACTTTCTCTACCAGCCATTGGATGTCAAAGAAGAAGCTTCTACATCAGTTAGCTCCAAAAAAGAGAGCCTTGCGTTGCCGGTCGGCGACCCTGCAGTTTTCGCTAATGCAAGACTAATGACTCCTATAGCTGAAGAAGAGAACCAGTTGTCTTCAGACGAAGATATCGATCTGGACTCTCAAGATGTTGTCACAACTCCAGTTCAGGACCATATTTATTGTAGTATTTCCGACGATGATCTACCGAGCAAAGTTTTCGAAGATTCCCTTGCCGAAGGATCCTTTCCAGATATCGCCAGACCTACAATTGGAATCGCTCCTCGATTACCACCTAGGAAACCTGAATTCAATACCATTAATACTCTTCCCACACCTAGCAGTAGTAATAATTCGTCTTCTAAACTAGTGTTCGACAAGTCAGGGCAATCTCAAGGCAGCTCAGAAAGTCTGAAATCGTTGTCAACTGAAAGTAGTTCTCATACTGTTAGGAATTGTGGAACGGTTATTGGTTCTATGATGGCAGGCGATGGTACTAAAAATAACATAGAAAGTAGGGGGTTCAAAAAGGGCTTCGAACGTGAAAGCATGAGGGAAACTAGTTCGAAAGTGTCTCACAACCTGCTGGCTACTCAGCCAGTGAGTATTCAAAGTGGATCCAAGATGAACAAGAGCACTAGTTTGTCGAATGTGTTCAATGCTGCTGGGGTGGAAGTCAATAGTGTCAAAGGTGCAAACCAACAGAGTACTCATCCACAGTTTCAACGTAAGTTTTTTTGAAAAATATATTTGTAGTATCCGCGTATAATGTTTGTATCATAAAATTATCTTGGTTTGACGAAAATATATGGCCGTAAGCAGTCAAGTTATGCAATGCGCATTGCAGGTCATTTTTTAGTAAAAGAACGTAGTAAATACTATTATATGGGTTTAGGTGAGTTTCGTTCCGGCCATTGAAACTTTTTTTTTCGATTTTTTTTTCACTCAGATGTTTTTTTGCTCGGGACGAAAGCGTTTAATTGAAGTAATATTGATGAACGTTTTTACCAACGTTTTTTTTCCTTGCCAAATCATGTACCACAATTGTTTATCGAAAAATATCGAGTGATATATCATACTAAAGCCCTTTCAGTCGTGATTCGAATCGAATGACTTTTAAAAAAGTTTTCTCAGTGTGGATAAACAGTTTAAAATTTTTGATTTTTCGTCCAATTTCGAGCATATAAAGTGAGCGAGCAGGAACTTTCAAATTTTTCTGAACTTCGAAAGTTAAGATTTTTCATATCACAAATCAGTATTGTTTCTGTTTATTTGAGTTCATTGAATCTTTTCTAACTATGTGTTGGCTGTGTTTATTGAGTATGCGGGCCTTTTTTGGAAAATTCGAAATTCTGTTGAAAAAAACGCGGGTTTTCCAAACATGAGCATGTTTTTGCCTAACTTTGTTTTTTGACGACCCCAATCACAGTGTTACCCGCCGATTTTTTTCTTTTGAAATTTGCTCGGGGAATTTGAGCTTTTAAAGCATCAGATTTTTCATGCGAAAAAAATAATTACGAGAAAAAAATCGTTTTTCAGTCGTTTTCTAACTTAGCAGAGTATACTTAAAAGAAATTTTTTCGAGATTCTTTATGCATAAACTCTTTTAGTTTGCCAACTTGCTTCCAATCGTTTGGAATTTCTGCAATAATGATTTTGAGGTTCTTTCTGCGGGATTATGCGGCACATATTTATGCCAAGCCTGCTTGAGCTGTCTCTTTTTTTCCAACTTCTGATCAATAAATTTATACCGGCATGATGAGAATTTGATTACCTAACACTTTTTTTTTGACGGTTTGGTGACAATTTCTTACTTCACCATGCCAAAGTTGGGTTTACACATTATCAGGTTTTCTTTGGTGCAATCTTTCAAAAATATCGTCTGTTGGGGTTGTTTTGTTTGCTCAGCTAATGAGATTGTCTACCATGTGTTTGTTGTGTCGGGGCAAAGTGGGTCAGTTATTGACGCCTTTTGTTTACCAGACGAGTTCGATTTGAATAGATTGCTGACTGAATTCATTCATTCTTTTGTCACTGTCCGCATTTGTCGAAGTTTCATAATGCCGAATGTTGTAGACATGATAGGGCAAAGGATTGCTCAATACTTTTTTTGCGATAAAATGTTAAATAATTAAGGCTGCTCGTATTGGTAGCAGCTGTAGAATTAATACTCTAATTAATGAAAAATGCTATCAAACAATTAAATTATTCAGATTAAGTTAATCTTATAGAAATAGGATATCCCGAGTGCCTCTTAGAGAAATCAAATTTCTTGTTAATTTTAACGACCTAATATCCAAAATATGTCAATTTTTCATTATTCTTGTTGCGAAAACCACAATAGGAACCTTCTGTGATATTTGAAAAGCAATCGCCGATCGTTTTTTACTGCAATAATAACCGTGGTTGGAGCATTTTGTGCTTCTTGCAAAGCAGTAAGTCAATCTTTAATATTTTCGGCTTTTTTATACTTCGTCACGGTTGAACCCTCCCATTCAATCTAATCTATCCTACTGGGTTTCCTCTATGCCTTTGAAGAGGACTTTCATTTGCAGTTCGCTTGCAGATTGTTGAGATAATAATCCACCTGGACAATGTTTTGAATATAAATGTTAATCTGAAGTATTCCACTTCTTTGTAAATCCGGTTAGAGCCAGACTAATTCTTGTTGGTACTATGCTACTATAGTTGTAAGCTATGGTTAATGAAATTAATAAGAATCCTATTCATGTATGTTCCAATGCTTTTGAGCCTGGTTTGGAAAATGCATGTCTACTGAATATTTTGGGTTGTTTGTCGATGCTCTTTAATTTTGTCTCTTACTAAACCGATTACAAAAGTTTTTTAAGCCATAATTTTCTTTTAGTGCTGATTCGAATATAATTTAATTAATTTTCTACCGTATCGATAATTTTTTGAAACTTTTAATATTCTCTTCTTATTAGAAAAATCATAAGACATGTATGTACGCAAACAACCTGATCTTTATAACTAGTTCCTCACAAATTGTAAAAGGGGAGCAATTTCGTTACAAGGTACCAAATTATTACCGTTGAATTACTTCTCAAGTATCGGTATAATTGTGTTATGTTAAGTATCGGTAAAGACTCTTTACTAGTATCATAGGGGAGGAATTAGTTACCAAGATCCGAACAACCATAGTTTATTGCAGTTTGTCTATTCTAATACTTGCATATGTAACTGCCTAGACGCTTCTCCGAAAGTTTTTAAGATGCACGGTTTGTCTTAATTCCATAGTTAATCCACTTTGAATTATTGTGACCACTTCGTCTCTGTCTAATTCTGGTTTATTAAGTCTTACAAGAAACCAGGGTTTCCGGGAAAAGTATCGCAATATTTAGCCAAACTTCAGTTTAATAGAATTCCTTATTTTTCGTTTTAGATTCCACTCACAAGCCAAGTCTGTCTTTGGTGACTCAGCCAGTCACCAGCAGTAGCCAGAGCTCTGGTCCAGTTGCACTCTCAGTAGGGACAGCCAGTAATACTAAATATATCCAGCAGTTGAGCCAGTCCCTAATCCAAACGGAACTTGCCCGAGGGGTTGCAGGGGAAGGTGGTCTGGAATCGAAGTCTGCCAACAGCTCCCTAGGAAAGACAAACAACAATAGTATGAACACCAGTGGTAGTATGAACGGAAACAGCGCCAACAACGACATTAATCCAAACCCAACTCCAAGTGAGAATATACTGATACCATGCGTTATTAAGTTATCCAAAAATAGACTTCAACGGGGTTGGTTCTCTTAGAAGAAAATCATATCAGGCGAAATTAGATACCTACACATGCAAAAGGCCAAATAGTTACTACATCAAAACGATTTTCTAAGCCGTAAAATTTGCTTATTTATTCTAAAGTATGCACAAAGGTTTTCGATATCAATGTTTTCTTGATGCTAGTATGCACTAATGTTGTTATATTAAGTGAGGTTCGCTTATAAGAAATAGCCCAGCTTGAACTTTATTAGCCTAGGAAATTTTCAATAGGACAATTGTCTTTGCATAACGGTCCGATAATTCTGTCCGTCAGATTTTATAGGTTTTGCACAGATTGGTTTTCATATGAATTAGTCGTCTTGGTTAAACTGGTATGTTGCCATATTATGTTGACTTTTGTGAACCATGTTCAAATCATAAACAGTTATCAGTTAATCAAATTAAACAATGAGCAGAGGACAATATATAATTGTCGTGCTTTTTGATGCTCGCAATATTACTCGGAAGAAAAATGTAGTCATTGATTATTTTTGTACATTTGTCAATTATCACAAGATCAACAATTATCACCTTTTTATGTGAATTGCAAAAGAAAAATTCGTTACAGGATTCACTAATCCAGATACATGTATGCATAGCAGTTAGATTAGTTCTTTATAAGGGCAGAGGTTTTTTGTTACTAAATACTGGGAAGAAGGGGGGGGGGGTGTTTTGAAATTGCAAACAAATTGTACTGATTTGATTGTTAAATGGATATTTGTCACAGAGTATGGTCTTAATGTCATCTGAAACAATATAAAAAAGCTAAGTATAATACAAGTGAAACGTGACATTTTTTGTCACACATGGTGCAATAGATAGATAAATACGTGATTAGCTTGTAATCGGCTGCAAAAAGACTTCAGCAGCACAATAAATTAGGTAGGAAAAGGAAAGTATTGCAGCACTGAAATGTCCTAAAAGAATAGAAAGTCAGTCATCATTAAAGAATGGTACAATGTCTTGTGATTTGCTCGCAATTTCCTTTTACTCTATCTAAATACTGCTGTTATTCTGACCGCGCAGGAACAACCTTTAAGTTATCAACCTTTAAGTTAATACATGCTGGGAAATATTTGAAACATGCGTGGTGATTATAATTTCTCAAAAAAACTACCTAATTTCCAGGACTAAATGAACCATGTTTATGTGACAGTTTTTTTAGTTCATAGAATCTATCTTAGGGGAGTTTCCATAGAATCCATGTCTCGGGTTTTATTGTACTCTGTTTTTTTGTTAGCTAATGGGCTGTTTTTGTTGTCAGGTTTGCCGGCTGGCTTCTGGAGCAATTGTTCTGTAGTTCGTTTCGACCTGCCAGAGTATTCTCTGGATGCGTCCATCTGTGGAAGGGGCTGGCTACTATCCTCAATCGAAGACGTTCTCCTGCAGGCAAGTCTATATTACAATTTTGCTCTCAAAATTGATCTCATTGATATCAAAATTGTTCCGACCAAGCCCAGGATAGGGGAAGCAAATTAGGCGTAGGGTGTTTTTGTTTAACGCAAAAATGAGGTGCGAAAAATAAATATCGCAGGGGTTTGACTGAACTATCTTGATTAATTCCTTTCAGTCGTTAGTAGGATTCGAAAACGTTCAATAAGCTCTGTTATGCATGAGACTTCATCAACGAGCAATTTGAAGCGGAGGGAAATAAAGCAATGGCTTAATATTTATTAAATAGGTTTTTTTTGCCATTTTTGGGCTACCTTTAGCTAGTTAGTATCTGATTTCAATCACATTATTCTTGCAAATTAAACGGCAAAAAATAGGAAAAAAAGTCGTTATTGTTGTTTTTGCCTTATGGTTCGATTTGTCGGAATGTTCGGCGTTTGGGTTATCGGAAAGTTTGGGTTATCATACGAGAAGGGGAACGATCTAGGATCTTTGACTTGTACAGGTCTTGATGTTTTGATGTCAGGAAATATATTTTTTGCGCTGTTCGACTAATGATTTCTTAAGCTCTTTTCATTAGAAGGAACACTCCACTGCAAAAGTGAAAAGGTCACAAAAAACGTGATCGACCTCTAATTTCGAAAATAGAAATTAAATATCAGGTTTCCAAGTGAAATAGAAGTTTTTACCGATTGATCCAGTTTTCTCAGGGTTATGAAAAAAAGTCATAAATTGTTCTCCAAATTCAAAGACCTTTGAGGCCATCTTTTTTTTCTTCGAAATTCAAAATTTCAGTGTTTTTTTTTAGTTTCCTTGCGTTCATTACTCTTTTCTATCTGTTAGTTGGCTATCTTTTTGAATTATCGCTTGTTGTTCCGACCATTTGAAAAATGTGGAGGAAATTTGTATTCGGGTGTGTTTTATATTTTGTTTTTCACGAAAAATCAGGTACCACATAGTCATCAAAATGGGTCGATTGATAGACCAAATTGAAGTACTTTCACTCGTGATTCAAACGACCGTAGAAATTTTCAAAGTGTTCCCAGTATCGAGAACAATTATGCTTAGCTTAAGCCCTGAAAACGTTTTAAGCTACTTAATTTTAGTTATTAGATTTTATATTTTTTGTTTTTCTAGTCATTTTTCGAAGCATTTTTTGTCCAATTTGCCCATATACTATGACTGTCGCATATGCTCTAGTTATAGATTTACGTCAGATCTTTTTATCCCACCGCGCAGAATAAACTACACTTTTTTGAAGACCATGGTCGGAACATTCTGTGATACTTGCACAGTAACCAGCTATCCTTTTACGAATTGTCGCCTGTTACGAATCGTCGCGTCTGTTAAAAAGTGTCGCTTGTTACGAATTGTCGCCTGTTACGAATCGTCGCGTCTGTTACGAAGTGTCGCTTTTTACGAATTGTCGCCTGTTACGAATGGTTGCGCCTGTTACGAAGTGTCGCTTGTTACGAATTGTCGCCTGTTACGAATCGTCGCGCCTGTTACGAAGTGTCGCTTGTTACGAATCGTCGCGCCTGTTACGAAGTGTCGCTTGTTACGAATTGTCGCCTGTTACGAATCGTCGCGCCTGTTACGAAGTGTCGCTTTATATGAATAGTCGCCTGTTACGAATCGTCGCGCCTGTTACGAAGTGTCGCTTGTTCCGAAGTGTCGCTTGTTACGAATTTTCGCCTGTTACGAAGTGTCGCCCTATCATTGCCAGCGGACGAAAAAAATTCGCTTCTGATTACGAGATTGCTTCTTCCTCCTTAGCTTGGCTAATTGTGTGCACAACGTTTGTGCTCAATATCATCAGCGAGCGATTTAATAGCATTTGCTAAGTGCCTGTTTTTTACTATAAGCTATGATGTATAAATTTTATAGAATATGACTCATTCACGAACTCTGTATTAATCTTCGATTTTTTTTCGGGATGTTCGGCTATGCTACATTCGCACCTACTACTAGATATCTAAATCAATTTTACTGTGCAACCGTTGATTTTACGAAGATTTAAACGAGGGCCAAATGATTTTGCAATGGGTTAATCATGAGAATTATAAAAGATAAAACAAAGTTGAAATTATAAAACTTAAAAAATGCAGATTTTTTTGCGAAGGAGTGTGGTAAAAAAGAGCCTCTCCCTGTTGTCAATTTTTGCTGGTTTGCGAAGTTCATCTTCGCTTTTTATTAAAATTTCAAGTTGTCTGAACCGTGGCGTTTGGCAGAACCAATTAAATTCATACTTTTTTTCTATCAGCGAAGTAATTAAACGATGTATATATGTTTATTATTTCCCCTTGTGTTCCAGTCGTCGTTCGAGGGAGACGTGTCAACTAAGGGTGCAGTGATAGTGGGTTCATCAGGAACGGGCAAGACCAAATTGATCACACATTTGGCACTACACAGCACCATAGCACAACAGTTGTTCGTGGAGATCGCCGACTTAAGAAAGGGTAATTGTTGTGAATTTGCTTTAGCTCTTAATTTGAAACGATGATAAAAGCATCAAAAAAAGATGATTCAAAAGTATTTGGAAAAAATCATTATATACGATACCATACACTGATTTGAAACTTTTTTAACGAACTAGTATATACAAATATTTTCACCTTGAAGGTGTTTAAGAAAATAAATTAGGTATTCATTATTCGACTGTAATGAAAGATTGTGTTCATGAGGCTGATTTTGAGTACATGGCTCAGCAATCTTTTTTTTTCTTGTATCGCATTGAGTTTTTTGTTTTTCTATTATCACTACCTGTAAAGTTTTCTGTATTTTTGTGAGCGGTCGTTAATTAGACAACTTTCTAATTAATTATTAGTCTTGCGTACTCTTGTTTTTTTTTATCTCGATTCTGATTGGTTAGATTAAGATTGCGTACGTTTGGTTTCATCATCTCGATTCTGACTGGTTAATTTTGTTATGTGTTTGTAGTGTCCTCTCGTTCGCGTGAGTCTCTGGATGAGAGCAGCAGAAGTGCAGACTCGCTTCAGCTGGACTCGAACCACTCATCTCTGAAGAGCAACGGAAGCACATCTGCATCCATCTCACTCATCAACCCCCAAACACAACTCACACAAACACAATTGTTAGGTAATGTGAATGTGATGCAAGTGGAAGAATATGTTCAAAATACCAAGGGAATCAGGGGCGGATCAAGGATTTTCTCGAGCAGGGGCGGTTTTTCAACAAGAAATCGAAATTTTGTCGACTTTTTTTAGGTCGACCAAATTTATTTTCCGAGCTCTCCGAAAGCACTAAAAGACCCTGTTTTGGTCAAATTTTCTGCGCTGCAGGCATTTCTTGTTTTGAAAAAAAAACAGGCCAAAAAGGCATTTTTGGAAAATTTTGATCAAAAGCGCTTTTTCGGCGTTCTCCCCCCTCAAAGTTAGTATATTTTGGCGCCCAAAAATTTTTAGGGTCAATCACCAAATATTGTTTTCTCAAAATAGTACAAAGAGAGACCTTTTGGGTGGGGAAGGGATCGAATCCTTAAGAGGGGAAGTGGTTCGTTAAGAGGGGAAGTGAAAAGCTAGTTTCGATCACAAGAAAGTTTTTATTACCTAAAATTAAAAATCGAAAAATATTCTCAATTCTTGAATTATCTTGTTCTCCAATTTAAAATCGATAAATCCACTTTATTCTCGGGCCAAAATTAATTTCCAAATACCCTGGGAAAATGTTTGAGTTCTTCTATCCAAAAAATTTTGCGCCTCAGGTAAGATGAAGAAGGTTTGATCCGCAAAAAAGGTTTGATCCCCCTCATTTATTTGAGATTTTATATCTTTGAAGGCCAATGAGTTCAAAGCTGACGTCACGAAGTAGAATCAAATCAACTGATACGTTCTCCCACTCAATTGAGTCAATCGGCTTTTCAAAATTATCTTTTGTTTTTTTTTAGGCACAGCAGGACTTGGTCAACCACAACATAATGACACAATGTGTTCGAACCACTCAACGCAGTCTGGATGTAGTAGTACCCACACCCCTGCTAGATGCACCCACAGTTACGAACTGAACACTTCCAACCCCCACTCTCAATCACACAGCAACAATTCAACCTACGACTCAAAACAGGTTGGTGTGAAGGGTGTATAATTGAATCGAAATTGATGACAAGATGGATGACTTGGAGCATATTTGTAGGTCAGAAAACAGAGTTTTTTTAGCTGAATTAGATTTTGTGATTGTTTCTACGAGTCGTAATGAGTGAAAATTGATGTGCAACGTCCACTTATGATTTATCGTCTAAACGAAGGCCTATGGAGCTGTTTTTTTTTGTGAGAAAATGTCAAGTGGTTCTCAAAAAATTGTTTTTATTCAAGGGTAAATAAACGGATATTTAGCTGTTCATATCTAAAGGAAAAGGGAGTTTTTTATTTTAAACGCTTACTCGATTAGTTGTTGGCCGCTTCAGTGATTTTACCGTGTAAAAAATGTGTTTTTTTTTTGCTATGAGGTCAAGTGTAATGGTTTTATTAAGAGTCGAACGTAGTTCAGACTCTTATATAAGTCACGATGATTTTTGTTTTCGTTTTTTTTTGTCAGAAAAAGTAATAAAACTTGATCAGGCTCAAAATTACTTTTCACAGTTTAACTTTTCCTTCTGTCGATGCTTTCAATTTTTGTTCATGTGTATAGGACAAAGACAGTCCAGCCAGTACAGTCGATTCCGGCATCAAAACGTCCCCCGGTAACACACTCGGATGCGACAACACTTCAGACACGGAAAACTCCAGAATCCCTCCTTACCAACTCCTGACATCAGTAGGCAATCACCAGGAGTCGCCTGGATCCTTCAACGTCCGCAACTATTTCTCAACATCGTCGTCGGCAGGGACGTCACAATTTGCAACTTCCAATTATGGATTCTTTTTGAGCCAACGAGTGCTAGCTGCTTTTTTCTGCCAAAATTGTAACCAAAAAACTCTGAATCCTGCCAACGTGGTACATACTCTAATGTACCATGCGCAAATAAGAGTGGCTTCTTACAGGAGGGTTTTGGAAGAAGATGAAAGTGTGAGAAAGTGGGCAAGTGCCAAAGAGTGCTGGAAAGATCCATTAGTAGCGATCCATAAAGGATTGATTTCGCCAATGAATAGTTTACTTGCAGACGGCCAAGTTGGGGGCAATTACTTTATAATTATGATAGACTCTTTAGTTAGTACAGATAGTGGTTTGATTGAATTTGTGATTCGGCTAGCCGACATTATGCCAAGTTGGGCGAAGTTGTTATGTACGTGTAGCAAAGATACGTACTCACTCTTTGGAACCCTTAAACAAAACTTAGAGGTATTTAATCTGGAAGATCCCTCGAAAGATTGCGACATAACGAAAGACTTGGACGCTTTTATATCTCAACAAGTTAATAATTGTACTTCATCTGCGCGTGATATAATAACTGCGTCACGTGAGAGTTCGGCTAAGTTCCGCAATCTGCTTATGAGCAATAGTCAAAGAAGCTTTCTTTACATTCGCAGTTGCTTCGACATTATCAATTCAGGTCTGTGATTTTTTTTCAGTTCTTTCGACAAAATTAAAAAAGACATATACAACAATTTAGCATTGACAGTAATTGATGGTTTTTGTTTATTTTTTGTACAAGCAGTCTTAATTGTTTTTAATTTCCAATAGCTTCTAGCTAGCTACACAGGCGTTATCTTTTATGCCTAGAATTTATTTTATTGTGAAATTGGCAATGTTTCAAATTTTATCGACTTTTTTTGTAAAATCATCTGACTGTTTCAGGTGCAATAACACTAACCAAAACCCTCAACAAAAACTCCCTCCCCTCCACGCTTCACGGAATATTCGAACTTCTCTGCAACCAAATATGTCACTCCAGCTTAGCCATATACTCAAAATTGAGAGTGATCTTAGACGTGATTGGCTGTTCCTTCTATCCAATGACAGTCGAGGAAATATGGACCGTAGTTAGCTTCAGTAAATGCGGGAAAGAGGAGTTTGATCGAAACTTTGAACTTGTGCATGGACACTTTCTGATCATGAGGACTAACAGGACGTTTGAGTTCTCGTCGGACTTTTTGAGAACGTGGTTTTTGGATCCGAGCCTCGCCAAGAAATTTTCATGTGACTTAAGGTATTTTTATTCTTTGAGAAATAACCAACGAATCCAAGTTGGTCGTAAAAACAGCGCAGCATAATGACTCAGAGATCAAGCGAGCATTTTCATTGTTCTTGTCTCCACTGGGTTTGGCCATGTTTTATGAACAAATTAATCGAGAAAATTTTGCAATTAATTCAGTGTTTAAGAGTAATGAACGTAGTGAAGACTCTTATATAGGTCTTGCTGATTTTTTTGTTCGTTTTTTTTTTCAGGAAAAGTTCTTAAAATTTGTTCACGCTCAATTTTGATTTTTCGCGGTTTGGCTTGTGATTTCTTTTTAAGTTCAGTGCATTTCCATTGTTAGAAGGAAAGCAAACTCCACTATCTAACAGCAAAAGTGTAAAGGTCACGAAAAACTTGATCGATCTCTAATTTCGAAAATAGAAATTAATTATCAAGATTCCAGCGAAATAGAAGTTTTACCAATTGATCCAGTTTTCTCAAATAGGATTTATTTTTAACAATAAATTCTCCATCAGAAATTGTTCTCCATATTCAAAGAGCTTTGAGGCCTTTTTTTCTCCGAAATTCAAATGCTGAAGATTTTTGAAAAAACAAGTCAGTTTTTGTTTTAGTTTCATTGCGTTCATTACTCTTTTCCAACTGTTAGTTGGCTATTTTTTAATTTTCCATGCTCATAATAATGACTCATCCTTAACTAATTATTACGAAGATAAAATTTGGTTATAGTTGACCTGAATTCAAATGCCTCATAGGTTGTCACTGGGACTATTTGTGTGGACTTGGTCTTATTTATCAAATCAGACCGATTTTTATTTAAACTAATAGGCCTAATTTTTGAATTGACATGTGTCAAATACAATAGCATATTTAACTTGAATTCGTTCTTCCAAATTATATCAAATGATTGTATGAAGTTACTCGGTATTTTGGCGTGAATGAATCAAATTGCATTTCTAAAGGTTTTGAATGAACTTGAACTTGAAATGAGTGCAGTTATAAAACAAAACAGTTATGATAGAATGTTGACGTTGTTAAAATACTGGCGGAGCTAACATTATGTCGATAAAAGAACTTAAAATTAAGGTTCGTTTTGACATTTTAGCAGTCCTTTAAGAAAGTCCTGTAAGAATTACTGAAAGGACATCTTAGCAGTCCTTTAAGTAATGTTTTTGCATCGTTTGCTTATTTAACTACATGGAAAGTTTTCCTGAATATAGGTAATAATTAGACAAATGAATTGTTGTTTGGTTGTTTAGGAATGGCCATGCATTACATGCAATTAGTGCAATGTCATCTTTAACATCTTCTCCGAAGAAACAAAATAACATTAACACAAACAACAACTTGACCGCGAGTAATAAACTAGATATGGTGCGTCATCTGGTACTCTCTGGTGCAGATGTTCTCGGCAACTCCAATGGCGCAAATGCGATGTATGACTCACCTATGATGGTGGGTGCTAATAATGCAATTGACTTCATGTTCCGAGACCAGAAGGTACAGTGGGTTAACTGGCTGTGTAAGCAGAGTGAGCTGAATTCAATTCTGGCGTCCAGGCATTTCCTCAACAGTCCAGATTTGAAGGTAGGTTCATTGACTACAATTTGTTCAAGCTCATTTTGAATTATGAAGTCTGAGGGTAATGTTTGAGCGATGGGCTAAAGTTATCGAACAGCCAAGGCCACGAAAAAAGTGATTGACTTCTAGTTCGAAAGTCGAATTTACCTTTCAGTTTTCCCAGCAAAATGAAATTTTACCTATTGATCCAGTTTTGTCAAAAAGGGTTAATTTTATCAAAAAACATGCCGATCATAAATTGTTCTGGATATTCAAAAAGCTTGAAGTTCATCTTTTTTTCTTTGAAATTCGAAATACTGACTTGTTTAAAAAACAAGTCAGTGTTTTTTGTTTACTTGCGTTCATTGACTCTTTTCCAACTGTCCGTTGCCTATGTGTTTTTTTTTTTTCAGGAAAAGCCTTGAAATTTGTTGAGGCTCAAATTTACTTCTTTGGGTTCTGATTTTTGATTTCGTATTAAGTTGTTTATTTCCTTTGCTAAAAGGAAGGCAGACTCCATTATCGAACAGCCAAAAGGGTAAAGATCACGAAAAACGTGATCAACTTCTAGTTTAGAAAGTGGAATTTAATTTTGAGATTTCCCTGCTAAATAAAAGTTCTACTAATTGATCCAGTTTTCTTAAGTTGGTTTAGTTTTATCAAATAAGCGGCAATCTTAAATTGTTCTAGAAATTCGAAGAGCTTAAAGGGCATGTGGTTTTTTCTTTGAAGTTCGAAGGTTGAAGCTTTTGCAACAAATTCATTGTTTTTTCTGTTTACTTGCTTTTATTACTCTTTTCCAACTGTCAGTTAGCTATGTTTTTAGTTTAGCCTCATTTTCTGTCGACTGGTTTGTCCTGCTTTTTTGGATTGTATCGCACGTAAACTTCCTTAAAAAGAGCCAATAGCTTACCGATTTGCTCTTGTTTGATAAGTTCAGTCAGTAACCGGAGCTCAAGATCAGTTTACTTGCAAAAATTTTGTAATATCTGTGTTAACTGTTATATAAAAAGAAGGTTTTGAAAGATTGATTCAATGACCTTGTTTTACAATCTATATGTCTATTATGTTTAACAGAGTGCAAGCGTATTCAATGAAATCCGGTTTTGTTTATGTATCAATAAAACATTTGCAATTTTTTAGGTTGCAGAATTTCTGCTGCGAAGCGGAGCCGATGCCAACACTCGGTGTTCAGAGTTAGACCAGACGACCCTCCTCTCAGCGTTCTGTTACTTGGGCCACTTTGAAATAGTCTCACTACTGTTATCCTATGGCTCCGATGTGAACCTAGCCGATGGACCATCAGGACGAAGTCCATTGATCAGTGCGTGCATGAAAGGTTAGTTTGATAATCAGGCATATTTTTTCATGTTTGTATTTTTATGGATTTGAATTTAAAGATTTTTAAAATGAGTGATCGCATTTTTTTTATAAAAAATCGACAAATTTAGTTTTTTTGAGCTCACTTCAGATCCATAGCTTATTTTCATTGCTCATAGATGATGCAAAAGTTAAATTCATACAAATACTGATTGATCCAGTTTCCTCATGTCGGAACTTTTTCCCCCAATTCCACTGAAAGATCAGTAGTTTTTTACGTTTTCTCGTTCCATAAACTTTTTGCAACGTACAGCTGACCAACCATGCTTTATAAAGGAAATAGTTGTGTTTTTAAATGTAGAATTCATTTTTTCTGTTTTTTTTATTTTTGAAGTTTGATTTTTACAGGTCACGTGGACATCTGTGATCTCCTCCTACAATCAGGAGCAGATGTGAAGAATAGTCCAGACGTGTGTGGCATGTCTCCCGTGGAACACGCTGCTGCCAGTGGATTCGTGGAGTGTGTCCGGATGCTGATCAACATGTCAAGTGTAGAGAGTGTAGAAAGAGCACTGGTGCTGACTGCATATAATGGACACAAACATGTAAGTTTGTTAGAAATTGTGCGTGGTCCGCTTCTACCAAATGGTGCGTGGTCCGCTTCTCCTAAATGAATATTATTAATTAGAAAGTGTAGTTTATCAGTGTTTTTAAATTTCAATGAACGAAATGAAGTCATTGTTTATGCCATGTTTGTTGCTTCTTATTCAGGAAAAAAGTTTTGATCGAGCTCAAATTTGATTTTCTAGGTTTTGAATCTTGATTTCTTGAAGTTTACTTCAAATTCATTTGCTAAAAGTAAGGCAAATCATTCTCTCCAATTTTGGAAGTGCAAATGGCGCAAAGCATTGTAGCTGATTTTATTTCCGAAAGTGGATTTCAATTTTATGATATCCCAGCGGAGTGAAAATTACGTTTTGACCCATTTTTTCTTTAATTGTGTTAGTTTAATCAATAATAGCTTTTTTTCTCAACTCTAATTCTTAAACAATCAGTCACTTTTAAATATCTGTTGAAAATGATGCAGTTGAAGAATAAAGAGAATTTTGGTACAAGCAAACACTAGTGTCATGTTAACCAAAGTCCCACTTTTTGTGCTTAATTCATATTTAAAAAAATAATTGCAGTTTATATGTATATACTGCAGCACAAAAAAGAAATCGATGCTGAGGATCATTACGCTAGCGAGCAGCTAGTGTTTCAGATTGAACTTTCTTTTTTTCTAACCAACTAGAAAATTCTAACTCGCTAATAAAAGTGTTCACATGTGTGCCTTTTTGCTAAAATGACGATCTGTAGCGTTGGAAGTTTCATAGCATCTGTTCTTGGCTTTATTTGTGGCTAGTGTTTGTAATGTGATGGATAAAGCGTCCGTGGCTGAGTGGTTAGTGCGTGAGGCTACCAGTTTCTAGGTCGTAGATTCCAGTCCGGGACGTCGCCGATTTTTTTTTTACTAATTCGAGGCTCATTTTTACTTGTTCTTTTTACACTTTTTAGAAATCGAGAGCTGCTTTTTGTAGTGTTATCGCTAGTGTTTGCGAAACGCAGCTTCGCCTCTGGGTAATTTTTGTTATCGTAATTGTTATGCGCGCCGGACTTTCATGGATAAAAATCGATTATAATGGAAAATGCTGTCTAATTTATTGTCATTATAATCCATTATTTCAGCAAAGTTAGACCATGTAATCGATTATATTGTCCTTATAATCGATTATTTCCTTAAAAACACAGTTCATTAAAATCAATCATAATGGATTTTAATATATTATATCTTTAAATGCGGGCTTCACTATATCGCCATGTTTAAGCTTTTTCAACGTATAATTTTTGCATTTTAACAAAAGAATTTATTCACGTTTAAGCTATATGGTATGCTGCAATGGATACAATTTTTTTTTCAATTTTCTAGTTCGAATTCAGTGTTTATTGCACCAAGTTTGAAATTAGCAACCCAAAATTGGCATGTAGTCAGGCTTCCTCAGCTGTCGCGATTTTGGCCTCCATAAATGAATAACCAAATCCTTATAGTTTACCATATATGGCAATTTTCGAGATTTTTCAAAAATTTCTAGAAAATTTAAATATTTGACAAATATTGAAATTCTCAACCCTGTAGTTGGGTGCTGTCAGGGTACTTTCAGGGGTTGCGAATCTTGCCTCTGAACATGACTGCTCAAATTCTTATAGTTTTCGAGATATGACGTTTTTTAAGGATTTTCTCTAAGAACTTAGATATAGAAAATTTCACAGTTGTCGTAAGTTTGAAGCACCGGAGGTGCGTTACACGCTAGTCCATTTTAAATCCATTATAATATATTATAATGGATTATAGTCTCTATTCATTTTGCAAAGTTTTCAGTAACTTCTGCTATACTCACAGTCTACTCGAAGTCTAAACCTAATCAATTTTATTTTAAAAAGCAAGCGTTTAACCCTACTCCCCCATCCGTAATTGAGTGTAAACGAGGAGTTGTAAGCGCGGGGGTGTGCGAACGGGAGTGAGGTAGGAATGGGGGTGTAAATAAGAAAGTGTGAGCGGCAGGGAGTGACGCGAATTGGATCAGGGTGAATAAATGAAGATCTGCAAAAAATGAAACAAAGAAATTTCAGAGAATCTCGTTTTTATCTGATGTAACGCGTTTTCAGCCAAAAGCAACTGTGAAGTTTAAATGTATGAGATTCTCGTTTTTATATATTGTAAATCGTTTTCAGCCGAAAGCAACTGCTTAGTTTTGAATAGACTGCATTGTGTTTGAATTTTTCAGAAAAATTTGTAAGCAAATTGATTATAATCGATTAAAATAGATTTTCTTGATTTGACAAAATTCAATTTTTTATCCGTTTTTAATCGATATGACAGTCGATGGTTTGATTTTTATAGAGACTGACAATGAAAATCCAATATAATCGATTATTATCCATGAAACTGGAATGCCGTTAGGTCTCTTGTTTTCAATTAGTTGTCTTTCTAACTAGGAGTATTCTAAGCAAAAAAATATATAATCATCTGCGATTTTTGGTCAAGTGCAGAATTGACGATTTGGATATATTGAGGATAATTTATGCGCCCGGTAATTTAAGTCTATTAACGCGTAAGCGGCTAATGTATCTCAGAAAGTATTCCAAATACAATTGAATCAACCTTATAAATGAGTTGCTTGACGAGAAACATAGCTTTTTACTACAAATGGCAAACGAGAAATAAGTCTCCAAAAATTTCTTTTTTTTTCACTTTCAAAGATTTTTCAGTTTAGTTTGGTTAAGTTCGAGTGTTTGAGAAATTTAGTTTTCACTTCCGTTATCGGTGATATTTTTGCTTGCATTTGCCAAGTGAAGTTGTGCCTTTCTGTCACTTACTGTGCCACATGCATTGTTTCGAGTGAGTAGCAAATTACGCTCTTCGATAACGAAAGTGGAAATGGTGCTAATAATATCCCGTTCATTTTAAATTTTAGCGGAGTAAAAGTGACCACGTGTTTGGTGTTTCCATATTTGGTTTCCTGAAAAACTAAAATCGAAAAAAATCTGGATTCAAACATTGTTTATTGAAATTCTAAAATTGAACAAAATTGTTTTTGGGTTAACGAATGCTTTACCATTGTGTATGTTGGGTAATTGGGTGTGTTTCCATATTTATTCATCTCGAATTTTTCGCAATTCAAAAATATACAATTTGCATGTTTAAAACAAACACGAATTATGTAATTGGAAAATCGGAATCTTTGTAATTCGATACTTGTCGATGATAATTCGATAGTTCAAAAAAAATTTTCCGTTAAAAAAGCAAGCTAGATGGAAAGGTTAATGAAAGAAGTGAACTCTTATTAGGTGTCGGAAAAAGTGTTTTTCACTTTTATAGATTTTGATGATTTTTTTAGGGAAAAGTCTTAAAATGATCTCGTAACTACAGAAAGTGCTTTTGAGTTTACTGTAGATCCATCTGCTAAAATTTAAGCAAATTGCGCTTTCCTATTACGAAATCACAAATGGTGCGAAAAAAAATTGTGAACTATTGTTGTTTTGAAAGTAGGTTATAGATTTTCCAGCGGAATAAAAAAATTTAAAAATTAGCAAGCGTTATTAAACCGGAATATAGATCTTTTTGGGTTGGTTCATTTTACTCACCTGCCTATAAAAACAAAGGTCAATGATTGGAATCTGGACAGGACCTTGGTTAGCGGATTTGTCCGCGCGTCAACAAAATTTTGACGGGCTTCTAATTGTATGATTTTTTTCGGCTTAGATGCCGCAGCACCAATCTATCTAAAATTGGGACATTTTACATAAATTAAAAAAACGTTTCAGTGTATTCCGGTTTTGGGCAAGTAATTGAGTTCCCGGAAGTTTGCCCATTTTTCTTCATAAATTAGTTTCAGCGTATTCCGGTTTTGGGCAACTAATCGAGTTCCAAGAAGTTTTGCGTATTTTTCTTGGAGTGCTCTGTGCAATTAGTTGAGCGGTTAACATCCATGCTTGAGGCGACGAATCCCATAAGTTCGATTCCAGTCGGTGCCTGTTCGTTTTTGGAAACTGAAAATGTTCGAAGATTTGACTTTCGGGTCTGCTAATTTTTGCCGACTTAGGCCTCGAAGAAAGGTTCGGTTTCTTTTAGCAGTTTGAATGTTCATTGTAAAGTTTTTAACATTGCAGGTAACTTTGTTCCAGAAATTTTTTCCCTTTGCAATTTTTTTCTGAAGTTTTTTTTTCAATTTTTGACTTGTCTTCTCTCTTGCTGGCAATCAGAGTCATTCATGGTATGAAGCTCCGCTTTGCAGCTTGTGGAAAATGTGTCAATTATAAAAATTTTTCTTGAGTTCGAAGAGCGTAAAGGGCATTGATTTTTTCTTTCAAGTTGGAATAATACTGACTTGTTTATGGAAAAAACTTCAGCTTCCAGTTTCCTGGCATTTGTTGACATTTTCAACTGTCGGTTGGTTATGTTTCTATTTTCCAATTGTTCAAATAAAAATTGTCGCTTGTTCATTTCCATGCGTCTTAGTTAGTGGAGCTCAACCAATTTAATCAATACGATTTCAAGAAGATACATGTAATAACCCTACTTAACTGCAATTTTGTTACCACCTTCTCAAGATGTGCTTGAACTAGGAAACAGTGAATTAATGCATCCATGCCATGGAAAAAATCCACATCGTGCTTTTTGCATTATTGTTAATCGATTCGAACTGGATTTCATTTACAAAGCGCTACATTTAGGGTCTGAATATTCATTTTTTATTCCGCACTAAATTGGATTCGCCCTAGTTGACCCTTACTTTTAACTTATCCAACGTCCTTTGCCCATGCTTTTTGCTCAGTAGTGTCCTGATTTTCGAAGTTGAAACAAGAATTGGGGTGAATGATTTTCCTATCTGAAAATTTAAACCATCTTTTTGAAAATTAAAACCCACGAGTAACCGGTGTTCGCTTGTAAAGATTTGATGTTTTTGTTCATCTTGAGTCTAAATGATATGCTCAAATTACGTAAGAGGAGGTTTTAAAGGGGTGGGGCAAAAAGGAGTAGAAATTTGTGTAGAGGGCGTTCGGAAACCGGAGACAATGAAGCGCCTCATAGTCTTAAGAGAGAGCGAACATAGAAAGAGAGATAGAGGACAAGGGAAAAAAGGAGGAGGAGGAGAATATGGGGATCAAATGGATTGACATTCAATTACATAGGGTGGTAGGAGTAGTAAAATAGTGAATGATTTTTTGGTCTTGTTTTTTGGGAGCTAATCTTATGGCAGATTGATCAGATGGCAGAAAATTTCCAATCATTCAAGCAGTTCAAACTGTCCGAAACTCTGGACTGAATTGTCATGTTTTGCTTTAGATTTTGGAATACTCAATTCTGATTGGCTGAAATCTTTTTCTGTTGTTTGGTCTTTCTGCCACGAGGGATCCCTGCTTATTTCCTTTGTCTCCCCTTTCTGTTTCTGCTTACAATTTGCCACCAAGTGGGATAGGAGGGAAAAGAAAGAGGAAATAAGACAAGGGGCGGTTGATGAAGAGAGAGGTTAAACATACTTTCACAGCTTGACCGATTAAAGATCGACTGAAATAAAATTGAAAAAGGAAAATAAAACACAAAAAAAAACAATGAAAAAGAAAATGGGTTTTAAAAAATACTGAACGAAAAAGATGAATGGGAAAAATGTTCATGCAGATGAACAAAAAAATGTGAGAACTTTGAGTGTACGAAATGAAATAAAGTGAATACTAGAAAATTCATGCGCCAAAATTAAATTATTTGAAAGAAAAGCAAACATGCGTTTTGTAGTTTGAAAACAATGGATTTTAGGGCACAAAGTCGACCAATGAATGAATGAAAGTGGTTGTTGGTTTGGTGTCAAGATGAGTTTGGTTTGATTTCGTAAATCGGCAAGATACATTATCGTAGTTAGAAGAGCAACAATCTTGCTCTTAATGGTTCTTGAGCTGTTCAGGTTTTAATGTAACATGCATGGATTAAACATGTTCAACATAACGATATGAATTTTTTTTCAAGTTATATGGAGAAAATAGATTTTTTGAAATTCCTATTTTATTATTTCAACTGTTGATACAACTAGGATTCGATTTCAAAATACAAACCAAATTTGAACAATGACGCTTTTAAAGATTCTTCACTTTTTTGGCAAATCCCAACATGGAGGTTTGATTAAAATTTTTGGATGTTTTGAATTAAGGGACGGTTTTGTTAGGTGTACTAAGCTATTTCCGTAAAAAAAATTTTCTAACAGAATGGCGAAACTGAGAATTGCCAAGTTAACTGAGGTGCGCTTGAGGATGCTGGATAGGTTGCGCATGTATGCCATCTTGGACGTCTACGTTAAGCGTTCTAAACCTCTGATTTTTTATCAAGGCTGATTGGGAGTCAGCTTTAATTATGCAATCGTTTTCACCTGCGATGTTTTTTATTAGCTTGGGGTCATAGTATTTGAAGTTTCAGGAAATAACCCACAGACCCCTTTTTCACAGGCAAGTACAAGTGACTTGTAATTTGGAACTAGTTTTTTCCCGTAAACAGTTTTTGTTACGACTCTGTGCAAAGTAGAAACTGCTTTATTAAGAATTCTTATCAACAGCGAGGTGGTGAATAGGGTACTTTCAGATCATATGGTCTGGAGTTCGAGACCCCGCTGCGCCCTGTTTTCGCCGGGAAACTTAAATGGTCGGAGTAGTGTTTTTCTGTCTATTTTCGCCGGCTAGTTTGGAAAGGAAAAGTGAAAATTTTACCAAACTTTTAAAAAAAGTCCAATTTTTTTCATATATATACATTTTTTTCGTTTGACTTTCTTTTAAGGTATGTTCATTTCTTTTGCAAAAAGAAATTTAACCCCACTATTGAACAGGAAAAAGTGTGAAGGTCGCGAAAAGCGTGATCGACTTTTAGTATCGAAAGTGGATTTTCTATTTCAGATTTCCCTGCGAAATAAAACTTTTTTCTTAGTTATTCAGTTTTCTCCAATAGGGTTAATTTTATCAAAAAAGTCGTAGAAATAGATGGAGTCCCTTATGACGGAGAGTCCGAATGTTGAGTAACTTATCATAGTCAGATTTTCATAGGATTTATTAAGGATTTTCATAGGAGAGCTTAAGACTTTCATAGGAATTGCGAAACTCTCGAAGTAAGCTAACAAGTTCAGGCCATTAAAATGAAAATTGATTGATTGAAAAATTAGCTGATATTTTGATTTTGAAATTTTGCCAGATCAAAAACGCATTGGAAATACATTGTGGAAATACGAAAAAGCATTCGAAAACGTATTGGCGAAAAAACCAGTTAGCGAATTCCATCATTCCGTCCCTCTGTCATGAGAATAATCGCCGATGAAATACATTGCACGATATCCAAAAAATATTTAAGAGCTAAGCATGCATTGTAAAACATAACTATTGCTTGTTTAGAAAAGAATTGGTGCGCGTTGGTGATAAATAATACCACCAACTTCTTGCAAACGTTTTTCTTCCCAAGTTTGTCAACCATGTTTCATTTAGCTCGCTTTCATTGATGTTCAGCAGTAAAAATTGTACCTCTAGTTATTGATTTTTTAATACCGGACACAAAATATTGGATGAAATGCAAAATGTTTACCCAGAAGCTATTGTTTTCATAGATGCTATAGAGTATACGACTCTCGCTTGTTCTTCGAAGAAGATAGCGGCTTCGTAGACAAAGCTAGAGCCAGGTGCTATATAGCAATCTATAAAACATTTGTTTCTGGTTAAGAGTCAATGTTCGTAGTTCAGACTCTTATATAGGTCGCGATGTTTTTTCATTTTTTTTCATGAAATGGAAATTTGATTTTTCGCGGTTTGACTTTGATTTTTTTTCAAGTTCAATTCATTTCCTTACTTATAAGGAAGGCAAACTCCGCTATCGAACAGCAAAAGTGTGAAGGTCACGAAAAGCGTGATAGAGTTCTAATTTCAAAGTGGATTTTTTTTTTCAGATTTCCCAGCGAAATAAAAAAATTTCCTATTGATCCAGTTTTGGGTAATTTTGGTAAATTTTAGTATATAGAACGCGATACTTTTTTTAAAGTTTTTCCCCGAAAAGTCTTGAAATGCTCTCATAACTACTGGAATGCATCAAACATTTAAATGCATTTGTGAATATGCACATTATATATACGCATTTTGAGTTCAATTTAAATTCATCTGCTAAAAGGCAGTCAAATTGCGCTATCCGAATACGAAGGTCATTTCGCCGGGGAATAAAAAACTTACCTATTGATACAGTTTTCCCAAATTGGGTTATTGATATCAAAAATTGCCAATCATGAATTTTGCTTGAAATTCAAAGAATTTTAAGGACGTAGTTTTTCTTTGTAATGCAAAAAGATTTTTTCTGTTTCCTTGCATTAATTGTTTCTTTTCTAACGGCATGTTGCTTTTTTTGTCGTTCAGCTGTGCTTTAATCTATCTATTTTTAGATTGCAAATTGGCTGTCGTTATTAATATTCAGATTTTTGCAACACGGTGTTTTTGTCAGCGTGAGAAGTTCGGAATTTGGGTTAGCTAATCTGAACCTATCCAGTCGTTGGTAGGCCAACAAGCCAAAAGTAAATATTGTTAAGCAACATAACAACAGATTCTCCTTGTTATGCAACTGTTACGTAAGTATGGTGTAATTTCGGCTTCAAGATATGGCAGTTTGTAGAACATCCGCTATCCAATCTTGGGAGTGCGATCTGTATTTAGACAACGGTGGGTTCATACTCGTCAGTAAGCAGACAAATACAATATTAACCAATCAGAATCGAGATGAGAAAACAAATTTACAAAATAAATAATTATTAATTATTCATTCTTCCTTGTCTCGATTCTGATTGGTTTATACAATATTTGTCTGCTTAATGTCGAGTCTGAATACGCGGTTGTCTAAATATTGCTATAACCCCAATCTTATCAATTCGATTGGTTTGAGGTTGTGGAGTTTCTACTGAAGGGCGGCTACATCAGCAATGACGCATTAGATGCACCATTCCCAGTGCCAATCAGAGACTCAATTGCATCCTCTACTCAGTCATCGTCAGTGTCATTTACAGGCAAGTTCATTTCAGATTTTAAGTTGATTAAGTTGGCGTCGCAATGAACTCATGAATTATCATTTTTTAAACTTAACGAATGATCATTCAATCAGTTGATAACAATTTATAATTAAATTCCAGCCTGACAGAACGTCAATAGACCATAGGGCCTGTTTTTCAAACGCTTCTGAGTCGAAATTTGTTCATCAGCTTGTTAAAAACTACAAAATGGTCGGTTTTTTATATTCAAAAGTTTAAGAAGCTTCAATTCGAACTGGACCATTTTTCTAGCCCCTAAGGGTATCCAAGATTATTAAAATAAAGTCTTGATAAATGGTTGGGGTGTGTCGTGTGAGAGTATTTATTTAGGGGGAGTTATACATATTCAATTAGTTGGAATTATTTTGAATTGAATTATTTATATCAATGGCTGATCAAGAATGACGTTGACCATAAGCATAGCAGTTTTTGGCAAGTAATTAGTTTTTGGTGTAGAAGAGACAGCGATGACAGCAGCTGCCTCTCGTGGCTTCAACGAAACCTGTTGTGTGTTGGCGGGACATGGGGCTTCACTGACTGCGAAGAACGGACAGGGACTCACTCCTCTTCTGGCTGCTGTGGACTGTAATCAGGAGGACATGATATTCGACCTCATCAGTCTGAAGGTGGGATAGCAAGTGTTTTGTACACGTTACAGTGATATACAATTTATACGAAAATCAGGTTTATTTGATAAATTATACGGTGAAACCGATAATTGTCGACTCTTTTTTTGTGAGGCAAGGATTTTTTTGTTTAATTTGGTAAGATTCGTTAATATTAGGATCAATACACTGATGATAACTTTAAGTTGTCCCTTTGGCTATATCCACTTGTTGATCCGTTTTTGCGTTCTGATTGCTTTATTACCTGCAACCAACTGTTTTTACGGTAAATTCAGAATTGTGTTCTACAGCTGAAAGGGTATACCTGGTATAGTTTTTGAGGTTGAATAAAAATATTGTTATATTTGATTTAGTTCCCAACAGAAGTTTTTACGAGTTTAAGGGTTCCAGTTGAAATAGTACCATGTGAAAATTCTAGACGCACAAAAACCATGCTTCAGTCGCGAAAAAATTGAGCTTCGCACAACAGAAATAAATTTGACTGGATTGTGTTTAAATAATCGAGAAGCTGGAGAGCCTTCGCTGGAATCTCTGCGAATATCAAAAGCCATTATTATTAAGAAAAATGAACGTAGTGAATACTCTTAAATAGTCTTATATAGGTCTTGGTGATTTTTTAATTTTTTTTTAAAATGCTCTTAAAACTACAGATGGGCATTCAGACATATTAATGCATGTATGAATGCACATAGGTATATATGCACTGTTTGAGTTCAATTTAAATTCATCTGCTGAAAGTTACGTAAATAACACTCTCCAAATACGAACGTGGAAATGACGGGAAAAAACGTAGACGGTTTCTAAGTTCGAAACGGTAATTTTGTTTTTAGATTTCCAACCGAATATAATTTTACCTTTTGATCCAGTTTTTACACTTGCAAACTACGACTCTTCTTTTTTTTCCAACCTAAATCGCAAATATTGGTGCGACTTTTGGGGCACCTTTACGGATTTTTGATAGCATGTTCTTTGACATTTCAATAGTAATAAGCTAACACAGTTGATACATTTTAAATTCATCAAATGAACCGAAAAAAAATCTATTTGTTTCAAACAGCTTAACTATAAAAACTCAATTTCAGAAATTTTCTACCACAATATAACTCGCATTTTTTTTAAAATGCGTGAGCTATCCTTAATATGGTTTTATGCTTTCCAGTTTATTACATGCAAAATTAGTGTGGATGCATTCAGTTTTTTATTATCCAAAATATTACTTGCAAAGTTGTGTCTATTTGTGTTTGATACCATTTTTGCTGCTTAGCATTGCCAATTTGTTAGCATATGTAGCTGCTTTATTTATGACTAGTGTGTGCTAAGCGTTCGTGGCCGAGAGGGCAGGCTGTGAGTCTCCATTTTTCGAGGTCACCATATGTAGCAAAGTTTTATTAATTCGAAGCTTATTTCACCTAATAAAGCTGCTTTTTTGTCGTGATCTTCGCCTCTGTGTCTCAAGCTAGGTTAATGTTTACAAAAAAGCGCCATTCATGCATTGTTCTAAAAATTCAAACAGCTCTAAGGACATCAATTTTTTTCTTTGAAATTCGAAAGTTGAGATTTTTTCAACAAAGTCAGTGTTTTTTTTTCGGTTTTCTTGCGCTCATTACTCGTTTCCTTTGTTTATATTATGTATGAACTAGCCAAATTATAAACCAGCTACCATTGTCGTTTATTCTTCGACTGGTTTAATCACTCTGATTTAATCGATGTGATACAATTGTTAGTCATAAATGGCTATTTGTAATGTAACAAAAAGCGTAGGTTAAAATAAATCGTAATTGCATTTTCATGCATAATTTTCACAATCGAATCACCATATAGATTGATTCATGGTATGAATTGTTTCACGGAAATACTAAGCAATGAGTCCTGGGTAAATAGGTTTGGCAATTTTTTTCAGTTTTTCAATTATCATTTATAAGATATGCCACTACCGAAGTCTCAAGAAAATGAAAATCTTTTTCTGCGTCGTGTCGTTGTAAATTTTTCTACAAACTGTCTGGGAATTCATGTTAAGATTTGTTTTCAGTTTTTTTGTGCTATAATGTCTTCTTATTATCCGCTCAAGATAAATTTGTTTATTAACCTGATGTTTTTGAACTATCAGATTATTTTTAATGAAATCTTCAACTTGGTTTGGATTTCTTTGACAATTCCCCCACCCCCCTTGTTTAGTTACTTGGTAAAATTTCTGGAAATATTTAAAGAGTTCTTTATTGTGAATCTCAGGACGCGCAGGCCAAGACAGATCCCCTCACAGTTGACCAGGAGGTGGAGAGAGATGAGACGGGAAGGACTGCTCTTTTGATCGGTGCTGCCAAAGGGAGCCAAGTGATAGTGGAGTACTTACTACAGTGCGGTGAGTCCCCTCCCCGAATTAATTAGTTTTTTTTCTAAAAAAAACATGTGATGCAGTTTTTTTGATGGATGCACAAATAATCTTTGCATTGACTATTTCACATCAATAAAGGTCAGAAAGACAGTTTACACTTTAAGTTATAAGTTTTTTTCAGAGGAAAATGCCGATGTAACCTTGTGTAATCATGACAAATGCCGAAATGCTCATATGTTGTGTTAGTACCTTGAAAAACTGATATAATGTTCATACAAAAATCATAAAGTTATGTAGAGAACAAATAAAATATAACAAGGGTAACTTATTGCGCAAAAAGCGCAGGAGCTTCAAGACTACAGCAAATAAGCAAAGTTTTTAAACATTTATTCATTTTTTGTAATTTTTGTTTGTTTTGTCGGTGTTGAGGTAGCAAAGAAAACTATCATTGGCCTCATTAATATGCCATCAATTCTAAGCATCTTTTGCCAGCAAAAGATGAATATGCAGATTGACTATTTTTGTAAATTAGTGAGAAAAGCGAAAATTTTTTACAGTTTTTTTCGACAGAAAAAATTTTGGTAATTAACCAGTTTGAGTCGATAAATTTTGTTAGACTCAACTTGATGCGTTGAGTATATATAGAAAGAACTTGTCTTTCAATGATCGAAATGAAGACAATTTTTAAGCCGTCTAGTTTTGTCTCGAAAACTCCTTAATTTTGATCCCACTCAGTTCAAGTTCATTTTCATTAGCTAAAAGAGAGAAATTACCCTCTTCAATTGCACATGTGCAAATGGCGCAAAAAAGTTGGTGATTTTAATTCCGAAAGTGAGCTGAAGTTTTCAAGTGTCAATGAACTTAGTGAAGACCTTAATGTAGGTCAAGTTTTTTCAGTTTCTTAGAAAGTTTGCTCACTCCAAATTTGAACTTTACGGTTTTTGGCTCTTTTTCCTTCCCCCCCCACCTGCAAATTTTTCAATTTGAAATTACTGTTCACTTTTTTGTCCGATTGTCATGAAAATTGACATGCAGACTGATTAGGCCATAACAAACATATTTGGTCTTCATAATTAACCTTGTATAACCACTCGTTAGACTATAAAATTCATGTTTGTGTGAGGTGGGGGGAAAAGGAAAAAGAGCCCGGTTTTTCTGTTGAATTCATTTTTTATGTTCAGTTGACATCATATAATGAAAGTAACGTAATTCACGCTCTCATATTACGAAAATAATACTAGCGGGATAAAAACGTGGGTGAATTCTTATTCCGGAAGTTATTAATATTAAGATTACCCGGCGGAATATAAAAATATTTACCCATTGATCAAGTTTTCCCTTTGTATAATTTTTTTAAATTAAAGCTCCCTCATGCCGTTTTGTACTAGTCAGATTTTCATAGGATTTATTAAGGATTTTCATAGGATTTATTAAGGATTTTCATAGGAATTGCGAAAATCTCAAAGTAAGCTAATAAATTTAGGCCATTAAAATCAGAATTGACTGATTGCAAAATTTAGCTGATAAAATTTCAAATTTTGCCAGATCGAAAACTCATTGGAAATACGAAAAAGCTTTGGCGAAAAAACCATTGAGCGTTTATGAACGTCTGAAGATTTTGATTGGTCATTTCGTCGCTCTGTCATGAGAATACTCGCCGATGAATTACATGGCATGATATTCCATAATTTTTTTAGGAGTTAAGTACACTGTAAAACATAACTATTGCTTGTGTAGAAAAGAATTTGTATGAATTGATAAATAATACCACCAACTTCTTGCAAACGTTTTTCTTCCAAAGTTTGTCTACCATGTTATTGAGTTTTTAATACCAGACACAAAAAATTTGATGAAATGCAAATTTTTACCCAGAAGCTATTGTTTTTATAGATTTTTACCCAGAAGCTATTGTTTTTATAGATGCTATAAAGTATATGACTCTCGCTTTCTCTTCGAAGAAGATAGTTGCTTCGAAGAGAAAGCAAGAGTCATGTGCTATGTAGCAATCTATAAAACATTCATTTCTTTTATTAAAAGGAATGTTAACTCCGCTATCGAATAGCAAAGTGTAAATTCACGAAAAAATTGATCGACTTCTAGTTTCAAAAGTGGAATTTATCTTTCCGTTTTCCCAGCGTAATAAAAACTTTACCTATTTATCAAAAAAGTGTCAATTATAAATTATTCTAGATTTTCGAAGAGCTTTAAGGTCATTTTTTTTCTGTGAAGTTCGATAGTCAGTATTTTTTCTGTTTTTTCAGTGCATTGACTCTTTTCCAACTGTCTGTTGGCTGTTTAAAAATTTGAAATTCATGTTTTAAAAAAAAATCTCAGTAACTAAGGATGCAATCTCGCCCTATGCTATCTATGTTATTGCCTTAAACGGCTAATTATATGATTTCGCGGATGTGCTTCTAGGCAGTTCAGTGCGTGAGACTGACAATGAGAACATGTCTGCCCTGTGTTGGGCTGTGCGACAGGGCCACTCGACCATTGCGGAGATGTTGCTGGACGATGACTCAGATGTCAACCACAGAGACAGCAGAGGAAGGTCACCTCTGGACTTCGCCGCCAGTTTAGGTACATAAAACTTGGTGTGATCTTCTATCCTCGCCCAGTACCCATGTGATTGTTTTTTGAGAGCAAAAACTTCAGTCCACGTCATATCTTCGAAACTGTTATGGTTTTCATTTCCGGGCTAAAAACAACAAACAAGAACAACAACATGGTTTTTATTTTCAACCTTTTATAACTGCAGGCTGCACAATTTAACTTGGTGGGATGGACTTGGGTCCAAAAAAGTTTGATATAGAAACTTAAACCACGTATCTAGTGCAACAATTTTGATAGTCCGGGCATTAATATTTAATTAAGTTAACCAGTTTTAAATCATTTGCTGAAAATGTAAAAATTTAGTTAATGTTTTTTCGTATTTCCTGTCGATTGTCTTTCCGAAAGCTACAAAATTTGTTAGACTTAAACAAAATTACGGGTTCATATAATCCTATTTTTTCCTAGGTGACGAATCATTACTCCAACTTCTCTTAAACTACGGTGCGGATTTCGACAAAACATGCAATGCAGGTCTTCGTCCTCTAGACTACGCAGTACAAGCAGACAAGCTGAACTGTGTGGCGCTGTTGATGAGGAAAGGGGCTAGAATAGGACAGGCGGCGTGGAAGACTGCGATCAGCAATCCACAGATTATGCTCTTGTTTCTGAACAAATTGACGGAGGATGGAAGTATATTTTACAGGGTTAGTTTCAGTTTACTTTTAGAGGAACGATTTTTTTTGCACTCTGATTCTAAATTCAAATTTATATGTATCCGAAGTGTATTAGTTTACTATCAAGTTTGATTCCAGAAAAAAACGGTAAGTTTTGCAAACGTTTTCGCTTTTGAACCTAGATGACAAGTTAACTTCAAATTCTCTTTCAAAAGTCTCTTTGGAAGGACTAGATAAAATTTATTCTTCTTCGTTCATTTTAAATGCGTCTACATCTCAAACAGTTATGAAGGTTGGTTTTTCGGACCCACATTTTGGCTCAAAGTTTGCATTGCTAGTGGCAGAAGTAGGATCTCTTCAACTATTCCTAATCCTGGTGGTACCTAGTAACGAATATTGAACCCTATAATGGCTGATTTCACAAATTAAGCAAGCAGTGTTATCTATTCAATACCTCCCCCCTCCTTCTGTAATACGGGAATAGTTCAAGAGATTCTAGAAATAATGCAATTATGTTGTTTATCATCTATGATTTTTGTTATTATGTAACAGCAAAAGAAGTATCCGGATGCTATGAAGAGGTTCACCCTGGCACTGAGGAAGTTCCCGAGACAGAAGCACGAGTTCGGAGCACACACAACATCATTCAGAGACCTCAAAGTCACCCTCTATCTAAACATCTCCAGATGCAACCGCAAGATTAATGTAAGTCTTCGTAGCTTTTTTCGACCACCTGTAAGTTTTTACGTGTAAAGCTTTGGCTCGCAATGTTCGATGGTTATAAAATTTGCAATCGGACTCATTAGGCTATTCCAAACATATTTGATGTTTCATGGCTTATTTTCTGAAATGATGCGTTAAACTTAAAGATTTTTGAGTAGAATTGGGGGTCGAATTTTTTCAATTTTTTTCCAATGTGTTCATTTTTTCGCACAGTTTTTTTGGAAGTTTTGCTGTCTTTTTTTTGTATGTATATGCGATTTGCAACATCGCATCTGACAAAGTATCTTTCTCTGCGTTTTTCGTATCGGTTAATTTCAAGGTATGAGGCTCCATTTGCTCCGAACAAGACATGATCCGAACAATTACTATTCGTTTAGAAACTAGACAATGCTATTCACTACGCCAACCGGGCACTCAACCTCAAGCCAGGCTGCTATGAGGGATACTACGCCAGGGCCAGAGCCAGACGCGCATCCAGGGACTTCAAAGGAGCCACCGACGACCTAAAAGAGGCATGTAATATCGCACCCGACAATTCCGAGATTGTATGTCTATTACAGCGGGTTAAGTTAGAAGCGGCTTTGCATTGCGGAGAAATTGGATCGATTAATTCAAATGGAGGAAAAGGAGTTCTGAATCAGTTTAAAAACTATTCCTTAAATGAGTGCGGACCAATCGGTGATATGAGTACAGCTATTAGTATGGCAAGTGGGGGGATTATTGATGAAGAAAGAGGTGAAATCGATTATCGGGGGGATATTTTTGACGATGATGAGGGAAGTAACGGGTGTACTAGTGAAGATACCCTAGAAACTAACACGTATGGTGGCGGGGGATCGATGCATAGTTTGTTCGCGGCAACTTCTGGAGGGGGAGTTGGATCGCATCCCTATAATGCGCATTCGGCTCACTCGAGAAATGTGGTCGCAAATCAGTGTTTTGCAGTGAAAGATACGGCTCTTTGAATTGCGGAAATGTTGATGGAAGCTCGTCGAAACTGAGCTTTTTGGGCGAATAATTTAAACTTAAAAACTTGACGCGTTTCAGAACTCAAGAAATAGAATTCGTTGTTTGTAAATTGATAAAAACTTGATAGAAGTCTCAAATGTGCTAAAGAGGTGATCACAATTACATAACATAAACCAAACTTTGTTGCTAATTACATAACCTTGTTTAGTATGTTTACCTCCAAAAAGTGGCCATAAAAGTTCTTTTGAACTGTGAAATAATTACAATACAAACTGTGAGTGGGTATTCTGTTCACGATGTAATCTGCTTTACCCTCGTCTGTTTTTCTTGGATCTCTCCCGCTAAAAAAGCGCAGTTTTTCAAATCTATCCTTTCCTTCTTTCACTTTCTTGTACTATTTATAACCAACGATGTGCTATGTAAAAAGATAGTTAGTCTAATCTAATCTAGTCTATAAATGATCTCTACAAATTTCAACCAAAAAAAAAAACAAACAAAAAATTGAAGTTTATTTCTTTTTTTTTGTAACTTGACTTCAATTCGCTTCGTCTTTCATTTGCAGTTGTATTCATGGTTTAGTTTTGCAGTTCGTAGAAGAAATTATTTTATTTCTTTGGTTCTTTTTCGCAGTTTGTAAATTTTGTCATCTGAATAATTTCTCACAATAGATGGTATTATTAATGTTAATTTTCCGTTGTCATGCATAATTGTTATTTTGATCTAGTTTTGCTGGGCAGATAAATTGTGAAACAGAAAGATGGAATTTCTATGGATTGTTTAATATAAGTTAGATTCACTTTACTAGCCATCAAACTTCAAATAAAAACGAAAAATGCTATCATAGTTCAGGACAAACAGCGTTAAGACTTTTTGGCACAAAATGTCTAAATTGCAATAAAATTTTCAGTTTTTTTTGGTAAAACAATTTATTATAGTTTTTAATTTTTCGTCGTCATTGCAAGTGAAGTGAAATAAAACTACCGCAGCCTGTCTTCTTGTAATATTATCCTTAACTGATCTCATTAATGAATATATGAACAATTAGTGCGCAGTGATTTTGTTAAATCTATTTTCGCACTGAAGAGTAAATTGCAGCACCTAATAAATACACACACTAGTGTATTAATTCTTCACTCGGAGTGTAATCAGCTCCATATTTTAAGCTCCTCCTTTTTAAGGGAAATATAGGAAAATTTAACTGTCTGTTCAAACATGACAGAGGATATTTAATCCATGAGGGAATATAATGACAGGCATATAGCGCATAAATTACTCCGGCAAATATCACGTATGAAAACAAAATGGAACAAAAATGTCCGATACCAATGAATGAATTTAGCCAAAACGAATTTGAACTGAAACAGAAAAAAAAACGATGTAAAAAGAGAAAATATGAAGAAAAAAGTATAATTTGAGAAAAAATTGGTATACCCAAAGATGGAAGATTTGATTAAATTTTTACAATCCAACAAAAATTTCATCCGCGTTATTATTTAATTCTACCTAGTATGCTGTACAATATAGTTATTCTTATCACAGAAAAGGGGAAAATAAATACTAATAGATAAAATCGAGTGGAGATTTAATTCTGATCTGAATTGCAGTAGCAGTTGCACCTTATTTGTATTTATCTATCTATTCATCCCGGGCGCTATTCTCAAGGCAGAACGCCCGATTAGAAGAAAATATCAAAAAAAAATATTTAGATAGTGTAATTGGCTTCTCGAAGTAACCTGCCTTTCTTTCTTCAGGTTATTGAAAACTGAATTCTGATTGGGTAATATAATTTCTGCTGATCGATCCTTCTGCCATATGAGTTTACGCCCTGTTCATCCATCTGTAGTATTGACTGACAGTGATGTTAAGCTAGCTCTAGCTATTGTAGTACAATGATGTCGTTGTTGAATAATTTATTGCATAAATTAAACTTATTTTTGTAGCCGATTTGTTTTTGTTTCATATTCTTTTTATTCCCTACTTTACAGCAGGGATGGAGTGGCCGATCAAAATGTCAAAATCACACTTTTCATGCTCTGAAGAGTAAGTATGTCCAATCAGATAAAAATGATAAATCAGACGTATAAATAGGAACAAGTTGATGATGGAACAAGAGAAAAAGTTACTGAGTTGATTAGTTTTAACGTAACTGGAATTAGGGTATGACGTCAATAAGTAGCCAGCGACGATTCATCGCAAACAAATGTTATCGGAGTTGTGTTTAGTAGTTCAGGGTAAGACCCCATATCGAGTTCCTCACCGCTGAGGCCTGCTTCTGAAATAATTTTGTATTGAGTGTAAAAGAACAGCGATTTTTCATTTACAAAGTTCTTGATAGTTTTACTGTTCACTAAGAGTCGATGAACGTAGTTAAGACTCTTATGTAGGTCGTGGATTTTCGTTTTTTTTAGGAAAGTTAAGTTGTTCTTGCTCAAAGTTTCTTTTTCGTGGTTTGAATTGATTTCTTTTAAGTTCAGTTCTTTTCCTTTGTTGTAAAGAAGACAAAATTTTACCGAAATAGTTCCGGTGATAATTTCTCTTGAAATTTGAAGAGCTTCAAGGCCATTTTTGTTCCTCTGAAATTACGAAGTTTTAGTGTTTTCAAAAGCTAAGTCCGGTATTTATTTTTGGTAACTACTGGCTCTCTATCATCTGCCTGTTGAATATATATATATTTTTTGAAATTTTTAGGTAAGTTTGTTCACGCTCAAATTTGACTTTTCGCGTCTTAATTCACAATTTGTTTTAAATTTTTTTTATTAATTGAAAGTAAATTCCACAATCGTACTGCAAAAACGAAGAGGTTGCGAAAAACGTTAATGACTTAACACTAGTTTCAAAACTGCGCGTTTTTTTTCTGATTTCGAGCGGAATATAATTTCTACTTATTGATCCAGTTTTTCCAAAAAGGGGTAACATGATCCAATTTCAGGGATTCAAAATTTTGTTCACCCATAGGTCCTCGATTTTATAAATTAAATTTGGTCGACCTTATAGAAGACTCGAACAAATTTTCCATTTGCTTAAAGGAATTTAGCTCCCTCAACAAAAACTGACTGCAAATATTCCTCCCACATGACTTCTAATTCGAAATAGGAATTTAAATATCAGATTACCCAGCAAATTAACTTTTACCAATTGAGCCAAGCTTCTCGAATTGGGAAAACTTTACCGAAAAGTGCCGATCATAGATTTTGCTTAAAATTTAAGAGAGACTCAAGGCCATCTTTTATTCTCTGAAATTCGGAAATTTGAATTTCTTCCTAAAATAAAGTCCAGCATTTATTTCTGTTTATTGAATCTTTCTCAACTGCAAGTTGAATAAGTTTTTTTTTTCAGGAAAAATTTTCAGAAAATTTGTTGACGCTGCAATTTGATTATTCGCAGTTCGATTCTTGATTTCATTTTAAGTTCACTTTCTTTTTTTTTATTTAAGTGAAACCAAATTCCACTATCGTGCAGCAAAAACAAAAAGGGCACAGAAAGCATGAATTACTTAAAACTAGTTTCAAACGTGAGCTTTTTTTCTAATTTTCAAGCGGAATATAAACCCTATTTTTGATTCAGTTTTTCTAACTAAAAGACAATCAATCTCCAAAGATTACACATTTGTTCATTCAAAGATCCCGATTTTATGAAACAAATTTTGTCGGCTTTAAAAACGACTCGGTCAAATTTTCATTTTGTTTGAAGAAATTTTACTCCCTCAACAAAAACTGACTGAAAACATTCTTTCTAACTGACTAAAAATATCAACACTAAAAAAAGACCTTTCGCTTATTAAGATTGTACACTTTCAGGTGTAATGAGCGCAGGGAAATCACTTATATATGTCGTGATGACTTTTTTTACACTCAAATTTAATTTTCGGGGGTTTGACTTTTCTTTTTTTTTACTCCGAGGAAACTTGTTTGCTGAAAAAGTCAAATTGCGATATTCAATTAAGAACGCGGAAAAAGCGCAATTTTTTTGAATTAATTTCAACTTCGAAGTGGATGTAAAATTTATTTTTTTTCTCGCGGAAAAGAAATTTTTTCACAATTGTCTAGTTTTCTCTAATTGGGAACGTTTTGTGAAAAAAACTGTTGATTATAAAACGTTCCTAAAACAAAGAGAGATAGAGAGAAAGAGAAAGAGCGAGAGAGAGAGAGAGAGAGTGCGAGCTAATAAGTCTGCCAGTTTTAAACTGATATGTTATTTCGAAACTCGAGAGTTTCAAAAAAAAAACTTTACTTAAGGTTTACTTAACTTTGTCGACATTATTCACTGTCTGTTGCCAGAATTTCAGATGAAAAACTTGAATGCATGAATGCATACCATTTGTTGTCAAAATGAAAGGAAATTTACTTTTTTGCATGAAATAAAAGCAAGTAGAGCTAACTATTTATCGTTTCAAAAAATATATATTTTTTGGGTTTTCTAGCCAAATATAACATCCAACGAACAAGTCTCATCAAATTGATAAAATTTCAGCAGAAAGTCTTTTTTTCAGCCTTAAAGTTTTTTGAAATCAACAATACAATCTTCTTGCTTCCAAGCTCCCCCCAAAATGTCCTATTCCGTTTTAGAATTTTAAGCCTTACTAGGTTTTATTTCTGATAAACAATTCGACGTAATTGATAAATTAAGAGCAATTCCACACATAATACTGCCTAAGAAATTTTGATACAAAAAACTTTGAAATCCTGAGAGAAAATTCTATTTCTAAACGACTTTAACCAATATCCAGCTTTTTTCAGACAGTCGAAAAGGATTTGCACCATCAATAACTCTAGAACAGCTGGTTGAGCAGCTGACGCTCCAATAGACAGAGGTTAAAGTACGGCACTAGTCTGTAGCTTCTAAAAAAGCAAGCTGGTGCCAAGAATAAATAATGTTTTAAACTATTGTTTTTTGTTGATTTGTCATCAGCATAGTTACCGCCAGGGGTACAAGACATCGGACCCCCCCCCCCCCCCCCCTCAGGGATTCGACCCCCTGCCGACCCAAAGGGTCCCCCCCTTTGTACTGATTTGAAATATCATTTTTTTGTTGACTGGCCCTAAAAATTTCTAAAGGCGCTTCCGGCGCCAATATATCATACCTTTGAGGTGGAGCGCGCGCAAAAAAAAACAGGCCAGTTTTTTTCAAAACTTGCCTGCGGCGCAGAAAGTTTGGTCAAACAGGAACTTTTTAACGCTTTGGAATAGCTCGAAAAATGAACTTGGTCGAAAAAATCCTAGATCTGCCCCTGGTTACCGCAGCACGGAATTTTGGGTAGCTTTTTTACTGTTTTAGAACAATAGCTGATAATACAGCTAATTGAGACTCGGTATTTTGCGGAATTTTTCACAGATCCAGTTGCAGCAAATTAAACTACTTCAAAATACTAAAAAGCTTTTCTATAGGGAAAACTTTTTTTTGGTCGTGTTATCTAAATTTTGCCTCAGATTTCTGAAGTCAATCTTTTAGTGTAATGTTTGCGCCTGTCTTCATTTTACATGAAAACTCTGTTTTTGACACCTTTTTCTAAGTTCTGGTATATTGTTAGATAGCTCTATCTAGTAGGAGTAAAACTCAAAAACATTCATTTTTCAAAAACTTAAATAAAAAATGCTCTAACTTGATAAACATTGAGAGTTTGTTGTTGCCCCAGTTTTACCCTTTACCGTAAAACACTTAAAAATACAGCTTAATTGAGTTTGACAAGCTTTAACAACTCAAAAGAGTTTTAGAATTTTTTAAAAATTCAAGGGTTTTTATTCTGAGTAACTGCGCGCGGATCTGCTGTTTTTGTTTTACCTGCTCGATGTTTTCTTGTGGAAGCTCAAATCAGTTGAATTGAGTGCCTCTTGGGTCAAAATTCTCTTTAAATTTTTGTACGAGAAGTTTTCAATTTAATCTAAGCTTTATATAAATTTTCAATCGACTGCTGCTTACGCTTTGTCCACTATTGTTTTTGGCAGTTTTCTATGTTACACTTACGGTATCGCTCAGCAAGCTTCCTTTGAATCGTTTTTTCTCATGAAAGTGATCATATATCACTGTTTCTTTTTCACACTTGAGAGAGCAGGTGTTGTGTAATCGGAAACTAGACTTTTTCCCCAATAACACCTTTTCTTACAAATTTTCAACTTTGCTTTTTAACCTTCACAACTTCTAGAATCCTTCTCTTTTAGATTTGAGGTACCACCGTCGCTTTTGAATCCTACCGACTGGAGTTTGATTCTCTGCCGGATATTGAATTTTTTTCATATGTGTGCAATTGAAAAACTTTTTAAATTTTTTGATAAAAATGGAATAGTGGATTTTTTTGTCTGATCAATTTGTCAGCTTTTTTTCACACCTCGCATCTTGCTTTTGCTGCGAGCAACTTTCATTGAGGTGGCAAGTGCAA